AGGCAGTATCACTATGGAAGTAGATAGCCCCACCTTCCTTCCGAGGAGTGGCTGGTGGGTTTGAACCGCCAGCCTTCTGGTTAGCAGTCAAGTGCCTTAGGCACTATGCTACCAGAGCTCCTTTAGTTGAGGCCTTAACTTTTCCAGGTCATTTGGTTAACAGCAAGTAGCAGAGACTAGAACCTACCTTGTTTTATTCCTGGTCCAATAGTCTACTGCCGCACATTACCCTCCCCATATGTGTTCAATTCAAAACAAAAGTGCCCAGGACTGTTTACCTACTCTCTCACTTCTATACATACCTGGATGGACATTGGATGGACATCAGATATATCAACTCCTTATGTCACTGTAAGGAGCTCCAGTGGTGCAGTGTCTGAGGCATTTGACTAGCTGCTAACCAGAAGGTTGGTGGTTCAAACTTACCAGCCACTCCATGGAAGGAAGGAAAATGGGGCAATCTACTTCTATAAAGATTTACTGCCTTGGAAACTCAGTGGGGGTCGCTATGAGTTGGAGTCAACTCTATGGCAGTACGTTTGGCTTTTGGTTTTATACTATTGTATTACAGATTAAGGTGTCCATACTGCCCTCTTCTACTAAGCCTCAATTGCCCTGAGGTGGGCAGGATGGGAGGGAGCCCCAGGGAGCTCTCCTGAAAACGTGACTGTATGATACAATGGCTGTCAATTACACATGGATTGTAAAGCATGTGTGGGTCACAGGAGAGGAGGCGAGTAAAAAGTACTGCTGACAGTAGAAGACCCTGGGTATTTGGAGAATCTTTCTTCTAATGGTGACATTATCATAGTCTAACCCGAGATTCATATGACTAACTGGGACTGGCCTGGTAAGGGAGCTAGGTCTCTGACTGGATCCTCCCCAGAGCTGAGTAAATGCTATGAGGCAGTGTGATGTAAGGGAAGTTTGTCGTCTCCGGTACCAGGACACCTGAGTTCTAGTTCTTTCTCTGTCAAAACAATTTGCATGAATGTAGGGAAAAATTCTCTGGGCCTCACTTTCCCCATCTGTAAAGGGATTTCTAAAAGTCGATAGTCTTTAGCACTGATATTCTGAAACAATGGTACGAATATCTGATATGTTCTAACTGTAGAACAACTTTATAAAATCAAAAGGTGGTGGCAGCACCAAGGAGAGGAACCATAAGGGTCAGGCTAGGTTGTTTGGTGCTCCTTTGTCCAGCAAATCCAAGCCAGGGCTCTGCAAAGGGGAGATGCAAGATACCTGCTGAGTTGAGGCCGCCCACAGCGTAGATAAGCCCAGTGATGGATGTACAGCAGCGGGGCCGAGTTCTAAAAGCTGGCAGGTGGGGCCGGCGCTCTGGCATGAGGTGATAGTCCTTTGCTTCATCCACCAGGTCCCTGGAATGAGGTGCAAGATGCTAGGATGGGAGATATTCTCCTTACATGGTCCACATTTAGACTGTCTAATGCTGGCATCTTCCCTGCACAAACACAGGTGAATCCTGGCAGCAGACACCTTCTGGAAGGTATGGTTTCAAAGAATTCAGGTGAGTTCTGGGGAAGCCACACATGGCTGCTGAGATTTGCTCAAAACTGGAGGGCAAGACAAGCAGAGTCCACTTTAGCTTGTGGAATCAAAATGTGTATCCTCTAACAGGTACATACTAGACATGAAAAAAACAGGATGATGGCGAAAATAGTTGGCTTTGGGAGTTTGACAAGCAGCCTGCAACCAGTCTCCATTCAGATCCAGCCCTTCCTTTTCCTCCTTGTGCCTGCACTGTTGTTCACACCTTGTGACCTTACCATTAACCTCACCTGGACAGTGGCAGCAGCCGCCAATAGTTCCTCACAGAGTCTCCCCTGCCTCTAGCCACTTCCCTTCACTCCACCCTCCACACTACAGTCCTAGCGGTTGGTCTTTGGGTCTTTCTAAATGCAGATCTACCATGTTGCTCCCTGCTGAAGAACCTCTGATAACAACTCACTGGCCACAGAACAAAGTTCAAACTTCTCTACAGTGCCCTCAAGACTGCTGTCACAGGGTCCCGCTACCTTCCGCTGCACTTCCACCCTTTCCTAACACAGACCTTTACCTTTACACTGCTAGGGCTGGGAAAATGAAGAAGGTATCCAAATATGTGGAAAACTATGCCAGCAAAGAAAAAATATTTCACTGCTGCGAATATGACAAGCAATGGGAAGAAAGATGAACATTTTCCTCTGCGGATTTATTTTTTTAACAATCCTCCAATAGAGCCGCCATCTTCATAACTGTCTTGGTAGCTCTGCTCTGCTTTGTTTTTATTGATTTACTCTGGTTAAAGGTTTGCCTGCTTACAAACATGTCCTCTCTCCTTCCCAGCACTGTGGACACAGAGCCCTACATCTACCTGAGACCGGGCCACTGACTAATATTTACTGAGGAGGGCGAGGAATCCCAGGAAGTCATATTTGTACCACCAAGAAAGCTGTTGGTGGTTAAGTCAGGGCAGGCAAAATATACTGGCTTAGAGCTTCATAAATAGCTCAATAGATGAAGATGCTGGAAAATTCTCAAACAATTTTGGCAAGAGAGCCCCTTCTGCCTTGATGCTCCCACATGGCACATTTCTCTGCCTAAGGTGCAAGACTCGGGCTCTGAACGGGTCCTCTCCCAGGTTCTAGAAGACAGACTAGTCCTTGTGCCATGAATTACAACTGACCTAATTTAGTCTTTCCTCCCATGAGCTGAAAGAGAGATGGCTGAAATTGCCAAGTTCTCCTCTCTGTCCAGCTTTCAGCAGCATCCTGTGCAGGTCCACCCTTGCTCACCTGCATTTGTGGCAGCAACGCACCAGGTCATCCTGCTGCACTCGGTCCGACAGGAACTGGGGTCGGCAGAGAGGCAGGCGGATATTGGACAGCAGCTCAGGCAGGCAGGCCCCCCTCTGCTCCCGGTCATATCTGATCCAGGCCAATGCAGCTTCAAAGACCTGCCAAGACAGAGGTGAAGCTCTAGCTGATGACAGCAACTCGTTCCAACCAGAGGCCACACCCTGTATTCCCTAATATCAAACCTCCAGTTCCACACTGAGGCAGCTCTTTGGGCCCATCCATCTTTCCTTCTACTTGCCAACTGAATCCACTGCTTTCTCTCCACTTCCCCAGCTATTCCATTTGGATTACTACTCCATTTGGTCCAGTCCCTGGAAACTTAAACCAAGGTTGCTGTAGCAGTTCCTGGTTTTCATTATCATATCCTAATGAAAACCCATTGGTGGTTTGATTTTGTTTTTGTTTTTTTTAATTGTGATTTGGGTGAAGATTTACAAGGCAAATTCACTTTCCATACAGCAGTTCACATACACTATCTCATGACACTGACCACAGTTTACCACAGTGCAACAGCTCCCCCCTCACTTTCTCCCCATAGTTACCTCTTCCTAATGTCCATCCCTCCATGCACTCCTGCCCCCTGAGCTGTCTCCCTGTGCATAAACAACCCTTCTTTGTCCCATGATTGTTCTCTCCAAGGAGTGTATCTACTTGAGGTAAATGTTCAACTCATATGCCTGTCTTTTGTTTGGCTGGAAACCACAGGTGTGGGTTCAATTCCAGACCTGAAGGGCAGCTAGGGGCCATGACAGTGCTTCCACCAGGCTCTTTCGGACCAGCAAACCTGGTCCCCGCCTCCTTTATTTATTTATTTTCCTCCAAATGATTTTGAGTTTTGTTCTACATTATTTCCCTCTCTATCAAGGATCTCCTACATAGATCCCCTTCCAAGTGGATGACAGTGGTAGCCGGGCACCATCTAGTTCTTCTGGTCTCACAGTCATATAGGCTGCAGATCAGATGGTGTACCAGTCACTAGGACTAATTGTTTCCATGACTTTTGGTTTCCTTCATTCTTCTTTGCTCTATGGGGAGAGACCCATTGTTGCATCTAGATGGCAGCTTGCTAGCTTTTAAGATCCCAGTCGCTACTCGCCAAAGTAGGAGGTGGACCAATATTTTGTATAGTATGCTATGCCAAATGAGCTTGATGTCCCCTGCGACTATGGTCCCAAGCCCGCAGGTTCAACTACTCGGCCCCTCTGGGTAGCTGGCTGTGACCAAGCCGTGACCACAACCTTGCCCCTTGTCAGCTCTACTATATACCTGGTGTGATAGTTGAAGATGTGTCAACTTGGCTGGACTCCAGTTGTGAGTGGTGGTTCCCATGATGGATCACATGACTGAGTTCTGAGCGGCCAGTCTGCCCAAGGGGAGTTTCCCCAGGGGTGTGGCCTACCTGCAATGCTATCCCAAGGACAAGCTGGAAGAACGGCATTCCGGACTATATACTTCCTGGAGTGAGCAGCTCGCTGCTCGCCCTGGAGGTTTCGGATTCATCCTTTGTTGGGAACAGCGACCAGCGTGCTGCGTGCCAGCTTGATTCTCTCGGCTCTGTTGTGCTTACGGGAACCAGGCGGCTCCGGGCCTCATCTCCTCCAGAGACGAACTTTGTGGCTTGAACTCCTCTGCCGTGCGTGCGAAAGTCAGGCGGCTCCGGGCCCCATCCCCCTCCAGAGACGAACTTTGTGGCTTGAACTCCTCTGCCGTGCGTGCGAAAGTCAGGCGGCTCCGGGCCCCATCCCCCCCCAGAGACGAACTTTTCAGCTTCAACTTGTCTGCTTCTACACGCTTGTGAGCCATTTACCTAAGATAAATCTCTCTCTCTCTCTCTTTCTCTCTCTATAAATATATATATATATATACACTTTGCTGGTTTTTGTGTTTCTCTAGAGAACCCAATCCAACACACCTGGGAATTCTGATCATTCACATAAACTTATAGGACCATTGTCTGCCAACCCTATATATGTTCTTGGATATACTCCCCATTTCATAGACATACCTAATCGTTCAGCCTGTCCACCCATCTATCCACCCATATACCCATGTTAGCCTTCACTGACAATGCAGTACTGTATGTACAAAAGGGTTCATATTTGTTATCTGTACCTCCCATGTACCTCTCTATGTCTTTCTCATCCTCAATGCTGCCATATTGGTCACTCATATTTGGTACAGCCCTTCTCTTCACCCAAATCAATACTTATCTCTATCTATCGAATAGTGTTTCCTCCCCTCCCCTCCCACCCCTGGTAACCAACAAAGAAAATTTCCTTCTATATTATAGTTAACATTGGTGGTTTTTTTTTATTTCTTTCTGCATCTCAACAAAATGCTCTCCCTTCCCTCAATCATACTCATCCAGAAAGAAATTTCTACCTACTGAAGTCTAGCTCTTTAAATTTAAGACACCCTCACCATGCAACTGCACAGTATATTTGAATGTGGCTAACAGAAAACACCCAAGAGAGCTGATTAGTCAACCACCCAAAGGGAGCAAGTTGTTAGACCTATGGGCTCAGAACCATGGTTGCAGGGGACATCAAACTCAGTTGGCATAACATACTACACAAAAACATTGTTTTATATCCTACTTTAGTGAGTAGCATCTGGGGTCTTAAAAGCTTACAAGTGGCCATCTAGATGCAACAATAGGCCTCTCCTTGTCCAAAGCAAAGAAGAATGAAGAAAACCAAAGATGCATGGAAATAGTTCAGGGGACTAGTGGACCATGTGAACCTCAGCCTATATGATCACGAGACCAGAAGAACTAGATGGTGCCTGGCTGCCACTGTTTGTCACTCAGAAAGGGAACAATATAGGAGATCCTGGATAAAGTCAGAGAACAATATGGAACAAAACTCAGAATCATAAAAAAGACCAGGTTTACTGGTCTGACAGAGCCTGGTGAGACCCCCAAGACTATGGCCCCTAGTTAACCTTCAGGTCTGGGACTGAACTCACTCCCATGGCATCCCACCAAACAACAGACAGGCATAAAGAGTGAACTTTTATATCGGGAAGATACACTCCTTAGAGCTATCAATTACGGGAGAACAAAAGGGTAGCATTTGCTTAGGGAGACACTTTATGGGGCAGTAATGTACACAAAAGGATACAGGGAAGAGGCAACTAACTACAGGGATAAAGTGGGAGGAGAGCTATTACACTATGAGGATTGCAGTTAATGTCCTAAAACAAAATGTGTATGAACTACTGTGTAGAAAATGAATTTGCTCTGTAAATTTTTACCAAAATCACAATAAAAATTAAAAAAAAAAAAAGAGAGCGCATACTGATTAGTTACTTATATTCATGACTACTCATCTCAGGTAGGCCCTACTTCCTCTCAAGCCTTTTCTATTTTCTGAGCATCATCCATTTACTCTCCCCCAACTCCTAACGGATGACTTCATACCTTTTAATCTGTCCTGAAATTTCTACCACTTCCCCCTCATCCTCACTCTCAGCTAAGTAAACAGAGACAAACTGGAAGAGAGCATGTAGAAGCACCTACCAGCATCTGCCCCCACTCCCTCCTCATCTGGGTGTGTGTATCCGGCTCTCCCTCCTGCTGCGCTGGATGAACAGCCTGGGTTCCTATCAAAGACAAATCCCCTTGGGCCCTAGGCCCTGTCTCTTCTCACTCATTCCAGCAATGGTTCCTTCTTTTTTCCTATATTATCAATTCTTCCCTCTCTCCTGGAAAATTCCCACCATAATCAAAAATGCTGTAACATTTCCCACCTTAAAAAAACACAAAGCAAACCTCTTCACTTCACATTTCTCTCAAGCAACTGCTCCAACACTCTTCTCTTCTTTAGAACAAGACTCTTAAAAAGTTATCTTTACTTTCCCATTCACAACAGAATTATTTCTTATAGTATCAGAAATAACTCAAGCATCCAAGAATAAGGAAATTAAAGCTGATAAAAATAAATAGAATCTTAGACACTAAAATTATAAAAAGTTTCCATGAAAATATGCATAAGATACAATAAAACAATCTACATGGTACATAGATGCCAAAACAAAACAAAACCAAACTCACCACCATTGAGTTGGATCTGACTCATAGAGACCCCTCCTTGGGTTTCTGAGGCATTATCTCTACAGAGATAGATTGCTCAACCTTCCTTCTGAGGAGTGGGTAGTGGGTTTGAACCACCAGCCTTCTGGTTAGCAGTCAAATGCCTTAGGCACTATGCCAACAGAGCTCCTGATACATCGCTGCATACACAGTATAATCTCTGTTTTTTAATTCATTCTTTTTGTAAAGTTAAGATCATACCGTGGATTCGTAGCTGCATACACAGTATAATCTTAACTTTGCAAAAAGAATGAATAAAAAAACAGAGACTGAAAAAGAGCAGCATTTCATTTGTCACAACACCCCAGCTGCTACCATGTTCTATGTACCTGCTCCTCTGATTTTACATTCAGCTCATCCCGAGACACCAGCTCAAGCACGTCTTCCAAGGGCAGGGCCAGGAACTCTTCCGACATGGACACCTCTACAAAGTGCTGGTGGATGAAGCTGTTGGCTGCATCATACAGTACGGCACACATCATTGTCTCGGCAAACTGGCGCACACCCAGACAGTTCTTAGGGTGAAGACTTTTGGCAAAAGAAAAGACAGGAAGAAAGAAAAAAAAAAAACTTTAGAGGGAGAGAAAAAATGTTACCTTTGATCATTCTCAGTTTGGTTCTGGGCAGAGCCACAGAAGGAAAACAGACAGTTTGTCCTCAGCTTTGTGAAAAACTCCCTGTGTGACATCAGGTGAGTGACTCTGAGCCTCAACTTCTACAAGTGTAAAAGTAAGACAGATTATCCTCAAAGGTCCCTGTCTTGTGGGCCTACTGCTCTACGAGTCTAGGAGGAAAAAGCTCTCTGGAAAGTGCGCTGGGGTAGCTGTCAGAGGAGAGAAGACCAGGAGAACATGTGCTGGAGAAACTGTTGGCTTTCCCTCAGCCTGTGCTTGGCTGAGTGTCTGAGACACTTCCCCACCACTGGTCACCAGAAAGGCACTGAAGCTGTATATGAGTCAAGTACTTTATTAGCCTTTTATATTCATTCTTCCAAGTTGTTTTACCAACCCTGAAAAGTAGTAAAGGTTCTCATTTTATAGGTGGAAAACTAAGGCTCAGAGAAACTAAGAATTTTCCTCACAGTGCCTCTCCAAGTGATGGTGCTGAGGTTGAACCCAAGCCTTTTATACATGTTTCTTTGGCACCAAGGCAGACTTACACTCATTGGAGCCAAGGAAACATGACATCTCTGCCACTTACGGGGCAACCTTGGGTGGATTCCGCAGGTTCCACAAATGTCAGTTGTTTCAGCACTAGTGAAAAGGTGAAGACCATTCACCTCCTGGTGGGAGCCATGATGAAGTAAGTATGCGGGCAAAAGCACTCAGCATGCTGCCTAGTATTATGCTAGCTGCTGTTTTTATTTTCATTATCGTTGTTATTTTTCTTACTACTGTTGCATCTGAGAAAATTTCAAATGAGCCCAGTATGATTCTAAAAACTTGCTGACAGCAGCAGATCCTGGAGGGGGTATGAGCCTTTTCTCTTTTTGATTCTGTGACAGATAATCTGTGGTGGGAAACGCTATTTAACAGATTAGAAACTGCCCAGGTTTACTTTTCTTCATCAGAATGCTCGCTCTCTTTTTTTCCCTATGATGACTTATGGTTACAGACAAAGACTTATATTTACTAAGCAATATTCACCATTGTTCCCCAGAGCCAAAGGACTTAGGGTACAAGTTTACAAGCAGCAGAGCAGTCAGGGACTGAAAGGTCAGAGTATTTAAGGAGCCTGGCTTTACGACTAGTCTAAATTCTACAAAAGTGAAGCTTCATTCTAGCCTGCACTTGTTCTGTCCATGACTTTAGAAACCTACATGAAAACAAAGCCAAAAGGCCAAGAAAACATGAGCACCGAGCAACACATTTTGTAAGCAAGGAAGCTGCATAAGCTATAATGCTTTATGTAAGGTCATCTAACTAGTCAGTGGCAGGAAGCAGCAACTTGAATTAAATAAATTACTGGCTTGGTTCACTGATGCATGTGATATTCCAACGTAGATCTGAGAGGAAATTTTTGGAAAATACATAGCACCAGTGCTCACCTCTCGGAAGAAAGACTGCGCAATCTACTTCCGTAGAGATACGGCCTCGGAAACCCAAGGAGGCGTCGTTATGAGTCGGATCAGACTCCACGGCAGTGATTTTGGTTTTGGTTTAGTGCTGACCTAAAACAAGGAGGCCCACGCATCCACAGGCTGGGAAAAAGGCCACAAAGAAAAATCAGAGGCAGCCTCAGGTTGAAGAAAAGCAGCAAGCTTTTAGAATGAAGCTTCACTTTTGTAGAATTTAGACTAGTCATAAAGCCAGGCTCCTTAAATATTCTGCCCTTTCAGTCCTTGACTGCTTTGCTGCTTGTAAACTTGCACCCTAAGTTCTTTGGCTCTGGGGAACAATGGTCAGTCTAATGGGCACAGTGGCTTCAGGAAAGAATATAAGAATGTTGATGTCTTTGCAGCTTCTCTCTACTCTATTACAACCTGTCTTTCCCCACCACTGCTTAGTTCCTGACAACCATTTTTCTTAAGGCAATCAAACCTTCAGCAATCAAATCTTGAAACCTAAGGGCCCACATGTTCATCTTCAAGGATATACACGAAGGAGGAAGCTTCATTCTGCAGCCAGGCTCAGGGAGAACCACCCCAAGGAAGAGAAGCAATAATGGTAACTACCAGAGAAAAAGTACAAAGTCTCTGGGGCCTATGGCAGAGAACATAAAGAGAGTAATGTGGTTGAGGTTCAGGCCTCAGATGGGCTCCCCAGGGCTAAATTAAAAAATGTGAAGAATAGATTAGAAAACATCAGCTTTTATATTTAAATACTTGTTTCTAAAATGGTACTATGTGTGTAAAAATTTCACTTGTCTAAAAATCACTCTTCTAAGCATCTTTTAAACGAGCCCTGGTGGCACAGTGCCTAAGGCATTTGACGGCTAACCAGAAGGCTGGCAGTTCAAACTCACCAGCCACTCTGTGGAAAGAAGACTGGGCAATCTACTTTTATAAAGATTTATTGCCTAGGAAACCCAATGGGGGTCACTATGAGTTGGAATCAACTCGATGGCAGTGGGTTTTAAACATCTTTCAAAGTGACAGTACTTTATAACAGAGCCTGATCCAGAGCTGATGGTGATAACCTCAACACCCTCTAGGTGGAGCTGTTGTCCTCTTAGTGAAGGCGTGAGGAGGGTCAATTTAATCATTTCCACAGTGCCTACTTCATCAGAGGCCCTGGGTGGCACAAATAGTTAATGTACTTGGCAAAAGGTTTGGAGTAGTCCACCCAGAGGTACCTCAGAAGAAAGGCCTGGTGATCTTCTGAAACATCGTCGTTGTTGTTGTTATCAGCCACTGAAAATCCTGTAGTGCACAGTTCTACTCTGACACACATGAGCTTTTCAAGAATGGACTCAAGGGCAAGTGGTTTGATTTCGTTTAATCAGAAGGCCATTCTCTAGGTTCTGTGGGGACACAGCATAGAGCATAGAGGTGAAATAAGTCCAGTCTGTGTCCTTAAGAAGCTCACAAAAATGAGCAGGGAAGGCAGTATGTACACAAACACACATCCCTCCAGCCCACCCCAAAGGCATCCTAGGGCAGGAACACAGCTTCACTCTGGGACCTCTCTCACCATGCAGTCTCTACCTGAAAAACTGGGAATAATACCAGCTTCCCTCTCCAAAAACCACTCAGCCAGCACTGAGTAGACAAGTGCCCCCTGCATTCTAGGTATCATTACCATAGTCAGTTTGACGGGCTGAACACACAGCTGTACTCAGTGATGCCCAGGAGTACCATGTGAACAGGATGTGGACAGCAGGCAGGACTCACAGCTGTTTGCTGAGTGGGACTAAAGGAGCAGGAAGGAGGGAGGAAGAAGTCAGCTCTAAGAAGGGATGAGGCTTAGGATGGCAGATCTTGGGTGGGAGGAATGTTGGTTGTCAGGCTAGGGACCAGGTAATGAGTAGGCTCAGGTGGAGGCTGGGCCTGGGAGAGCACCATGGAGACAGGGGTGCTGTTCTGGTTCCTCCTTGCTTGTGTGTGGCCAGCACTGACCCTCACTCCCAAGCCTCTGGTGATTAAAAGGTCTTGACAAGGAAGAGCCTTCTTATCTGCTTATAGTCATCAAAACATCATAAGAAGATCTACCACACCCACTGCCGAGTACTGGAAATACATGGGGGTATTTGGTCCCATGAGGAACCCTGGGCGACCCAATAATTAAGCGTTTGGCTGCTAATCAAAGGTTGGCAGCTGGAACCCACCAGCCACTCCATGAAAGAAAGATAAAGAAGTCTGCTTCTGTGAAGATTTACAGCCTTGGAAAACCTAAGGGGCAGTTCTACTCTGTCCTATAGGGTGGCTATGAGTTTTATTTGGTTTCTACCCTTCAAGATCTTAGCAGCTTTATAAGGATTGCTCCCAGGGGACTGAGGGAGATAGAGAATTCCATGAGGTAAAATTTGGGTTGGCTCTTACAGAGCTGAGGCAAAAAGGAAGGTTAATAAATTTAAGGAGGGTGAAAATTCTAAACAAAGATGGAGATGGTTGTGGAACAGTTAGGAGTACTGAATAAACTGGTTTGGTGAGAAGAGTCAGCTAAATTAGTGGCTGGTCAGACTGGAGAGAGGACCAGAAGAAGATGTACATTGTAGGAAGGGCTCTATGTAAATCATATTCTACAAAGGTTCAAGCCAAGTAAGTGGGCACTGCTTGATACTGATTTCAAGAAAGATTATCTCTGCTCACTCTTTTCATAAAACCTATATGCTCCAAGAACTCAGAAAACTTTGACAAGGGATTCCGAATTGCAACGGTCCTGTTCCCTACCATGAGCCAGGCCCCCTGAATCGCCTCACCGTTCTCGGAGGAATGTGCAGCAGGCGTCTTTGATGCTCTGCAGCTGTAGGAAGCTAGCCCCCATGAGCAACGACTGGACATTTTGCTGGTCAATGGCAAGGTGGCCGTTGTAGGCAAAGTTGATCAGAGCCTCCAGGGCACTAGAGGAAAGAGGGAAAGCGTGAGACTTTCTTCAGAGATAAGTCTTTGCCCACAGTAGACTCAGGCCCTAACCGAGCTGACATTACTGCTTGGGGGATAGAAGGGCCTGTTCTAAAAACCAGTTAGCCTCTATCCTTTGAGATTCTCCCTAAATGGAAAAACCACTCCATCACAGCCAAAGTCTTGTTCTACTTCTTAAGTTGTCCTTACTGCCCATATAATTCTATTACAGAAAATTCTAAAAAGAAAAAGCCATCACTCACAATGTAGGTACTTAATGAGTCAATGGTGACCATTTTCCTAGGCTGCTTCTCAGCCTGTTCACCTGTACACAAAACCTATACAGACATAATCATACAATATTAGAGTTTTTTTTTCCCATTTTCTACAATGTCTTCACATTTATCATTTTTAGTGCTTACTATATAATATTTCAACATGTAAATGTGGTATACCTTGTTTCCTTTATTGGTAGGCATAATAGCTATTACCATGTTCCATTGCAACCATTGCTGTGGAGTTGGACCCGACCCATAGTGACCCCTCATGGCAGTACCATGTTAGTGCCATTATAAATGTTTTTGGATTATTATTTCTTTGGGATACATTTCCAAAATGAGATTTCTAACATCTTTTCAGGCTTCTGATTCGTACTCATCATGAAATCTAAATGCCTTCTATGAGGATGCATGTGGGCTGGTCTCTTTCCGTTTCTCCAACCTCATCACCTTCCTCTCTTTGCTCTATGCAAACATGTTAACACATTCTCACCTCAGGGCCTCTGCTCCCTCTGTTTGGAGGGCTCTTCCCCCTGGTGGCTTACCCTCTCACTTCAATTAAGGTCTTGGCTCAAATGTCACCTCACCAGAAAGGCCTTCCCTGATCATTCTGAAACAGTACAGATCCCTGCCATCATTTGCTAGGCTTTGCTTTACTCTTCTTGCATCACTTTCACTTCTAGCCATACATGCTTGTGTTTGTTGATTGTTGGGTCCCTACCACTGGACTGTGGACACAAGGAGAAGCATTGCTTTCTGTTTGCTTACTGCAAACACCTAGAGCAGTGCATAGAAGTGTTCAGTCAATCTCTGTTAAATGGAGTGTGGATGGTCATTAGCATGTGTTATGGATTGACTTGTATCCCCCAAAACTACGTGTTGTTAATCCTAACCTCTATGCCTGTAGCAATAACCCCATTTGGAGATGATGATCTCTATTTATGGAGAGAAAGAAGGGTATATCTACCATAAGACTAAAGTCTCCGTAGTTATAAAGAAAGACACCTGAGGTCTGTATCATCAAAAGGAACTGAGCCATCTTTGTTATGTCAATGAGGCAGGATTAGTGTAGGGTATGTCTTTGATCCATCTCTTTCAAGACACAAAAGAGATTAAGTAAGCAAAGAAGCAGAGATGGGAGGAAGAGAGATGCCAAGCCAAAGCTCTAAGAGACAAGGACCTTTCCCCAGAGCCAACACAGAGCGAAAGCTTTCCCTTAGGGCTAGCACCCTGAATTTGGACTGTAAGCCTGCTAAACTGTGAGGAAATAAATTTCTCTTTGTTAAAGCCACCCATTTGTGGTACTTTTGTTATAGCAGCACTAGAGAACTAAGACAGCACAGTTTCTTTTGATAGAGAGACCTCAGGTGTCTTTCTTTGTAACTACCTGAGACTTCTGTCTTATGGTAGACAGATAATTCTCTCTCTCCACAGATGGAGATTGTGATAGTTGGAGTTGTGTGTCAACTTGGCTGGACCACAATTTCGAGTGGTTTAAGCAGTTGCAATGTGGGTTATTCCCAAGATGAGACTGGATGTATATGTTTCGAGCAGCCAATCCATTGAAAGGGAGTTTCCCTAGGGGAGTGGCCTGCTTCCAATATATTTACAGACACACTCTTCTGTGATTGGGATCCTGTTGTGCTGCCTACAACTGTCCATGAGCAAATAATCCACCATTCGGCCTGGAGAACTTGGATTCATCATTTGTTGGAGTCAACAGCCAGTATACTGCCTGCCAACCTTGAGCTCCTCAGCCCCTGCAGCTGCATGACTCAGGAAAAGCCTCCAGCTTGACATTTGATCCAAGAACTTGGGATTTGCCAGCTTCTATAAGTACATGAGCCATTTTCCTAAGATAATTTTTTTTTTTTTTTTTCTCTATATATAAGCTTTACTGATTTTGCTTCTCTAGAGAACCCAGCCTAACACATTTGGTACCGGGAGTGGTTCTAAAGAGACAAAATCATAAGGATGGGCTTCTTAAATTGGTTCTCACTGATTCTGTTTTGGTTCTCCAATTTGATTAATCATAAAGACACTGGTGACTCTGCCTCCATCAGTAAAGAAGGCCCTGCTAACCCGTGGTGTGAGGTGGCAACATTAATATGCAAAATAGCACCACCAATAAATCAAGTATTTTTGAGAAGTGAGGCTCTGGGTGATTGCATATTTGATACTATTTTTCTGCAATTCTATCAGTATGAGGAGAATAAGGAAGCTGGTTGGTTGGTCTGATTTATGCCAGACAAAGTGGTGAAAGAGCAAAATGAGTTCAGGGCTGCTGAGTCAAGCACCGCATAAAAGACCTCAATGTTTCCAGTTATGCTCTGAAAGAAGGCCTATTTCTTCTAGTAACAGAGCTCATATTACCGAAAAATAAACCCAGAGTCTTATTGTAAGGGTGTCTGAATTACAACGTCAAATAAATTGCCAACTCAGAATGGTTTCTGAAGTTAAAGTGAGGGCATTGATTAGGAAAAAATGGGATCCTGAAACTTGGAATGAGGATAGTCAGGAAGATGAGGCTATATGGAGCTGGTAAATTCTGTTGAATCCCTCCCATCTGAAGGGATTACTATAAAACCATTAACCCTTCTACCTCAGTATGATGGGTTTAACCCAGCTGTTCCTGCTGGGTCACTGCCTGAGGTAGATGCCATGGAAGACATTGTTGAATGTTCTCAGGAATCGCCCCAACCACCCATTGCTGCTGCTAGACCTATAACTAAACTTAAGTCCAAGTAAGCCCCAAAAGGTGAAATATAAAGTGTGATTGAGGAGGTGGTACGCAATACCCAAAAAGACCTACTTGATTTTGCTAACATGCACAGGCAGAAAGCTGGAGAATATGTATGGGAGTGCCTACTGAGGGTGTGGGATAATGGTGCAAGGAATGTAACACTGCATCAGTCTGAGTTTATTGATTTAGCCCCACTAAGTATGGATTGGGAGCTCTGGTAGCATAGTGGCTAAGACACTTGCCTGCTAACCAGACGGCTGGCGGTTCAAACCCACCAGCCACTCCTCGGAAGGAAGGTTGGGCAATCCTACTTCCGTAGTGATACTGCCTCGGAAACCCAAGGAGGGGTCGCTATGAGTCGGGGCCGACTCGACGGCACATAACAACAACAACAACAACAAGTATGGATTACGGATTCTTTGTTCAATGTTTCAGCTACAGAGGTTAGAAAAGGATCTAATTGTTTACTTGGTTAGCTTACTGAAACATGGATTATCGGTGGCCTACCTTGACCTCAAGTCAAATTGAAGTACCAGACTTGATTTGGTATAATGTAGAAGAAGGTATCCAGAGACTTAGGGAAACTGGCATGTTAAAATGGATTGATCAGGTTAGACCCCTAGAGCCAGAAATGGAGAGACCAGAGGACATGTCTTTCACCAGTACAGTGAAGAACAAATTTGTGAAGGGAGCCACAGCATTCTTGATGACTGCTGTGATTGCTATTTTATGTAAGCTGGATTTGATAGTGGGAACTGCCCTAATTGAACTAAGACACTTAAATGCAATGGGGCTGGTAGTAGGGGACAAGTGGCAGCAGTTAATCAATAAAGATAAGGTGGGCGTGGTTATCATAATGGACAGCAGAGTCAAAATAGTAATCAGAATAGTCTGACTCATGTGGAATTATGGCATTGGCTACTTAGGTATGGTGTTCGTAGGAGTGAAATACATGGTAAACCTATTACATATTTACTTGATCTGTACAGATAGAGGGAACTCTGGTGGTATAGTGCCTAAGGCATCTGACTGCTAACCAAAGGGCTGGCAGTTCAAACCCACCAACCACTCCTTGGAAGGAAGGTTGGGGAATCTACTTCTGTAGTGATACTGCTTCAGATACTCAAGGAAGGGTCACTATGAGTTGGATCCAACTCGATGGTAGTGAGTTTGGTTTTTGGTTTTGGTATAGACAGAAGAATTCTAGGTCACATGAACAGCAGTCCAGACTGAATCACCAGAATACAGAGTCATGGCCTCTCAATCAATTCCCAGACTTGAGTCAGTTTACAGACTCACAACCCCCTGAATGAAGGGGAGGCCAGGTCCCCTTGAGGAAGGACCCCACTACATTGCCAAAAATTTACAATGTCAATCTTTCTCCCAGCCTTCTCGAAAGGGATCTGAGGCCTTTTAAAAGAATGACTGTTCACTGGGGAAAAGGAAATAATCAGACTTTTTGGGGATTACTGGACACTGGCTCTGAACTGACACTAATTCTAGGAGACCCAAAGCGTCATCGTGGCCCACCAGTCAGAGTGGGGGCATATGGAGGTCAAGTTATTGATGGTATCTTAGCTTAGGTGCGTCTCACAGTGGGTCCAGTGGGTCCCTGAACCCATCCTGTAGTGATTTCCCCATTTCCAGAATGCATAATTGGAATAGATATACTTAGCAATTCCCACGTTGGGTCCCTGACATGTGGAGTAAGGGCTATTGTGGTGGGAAAAGCCAAGTGGAAGCCATTAGAACTGCCCAGTGATTAAAGTCAATAGAAAATTACAGCAACCCAATTCTGATATGACTATTAATGGCCCAGAACCTTTAGGAATGAAGGTTTGGGTCACCCCACCATGTAAAAAACCATGACTAGCTGAGATTCTTGCTGAGGTCCAGGGAAATATGAAATGGGTGGTAGAAGAAGATAGTTCTGAATATCAGCTACAACCATGTGACTAGTTGCAGAAACGAGGACTGTGATTGTTATAGTTCTTCATTGTGTATGTGTATGTGCATGTGTATGCATCAAATATTTTTGTTTCCTTCTGTTATGAACTATGAAATGTAAACAGGGTTAATATGTTTAGGTTGTACACATGTTAGCATATCATGTTAGGTGCAAATATGAGTTTATAATTGTCCTTATTTAGAGATTATATATGGTTAAGGAGATGTGTACAACTGCCAAGTTGACAAGGGGTGGACTGTGATAGTTGTTTGTTGTGTGTCAACTTGGCTGGACCATGATTCTGAGTGGTTTAAGCAGGTGTGACATGGGTTATTCCCATGATGAGACTGTATGTATATGTTTTGAGCAGCTAATTCACCAAAAAGGAGTTTCCCTAGGGGTGTGGCCTGCTTCCAATAAATTTATGGACATCCTGGGAAAAAGACACACTCTTCTGTGCATTGGGATCTTGTTGTGCTGCCTACAACTGTCCATGAGTGAACAATCCACCATTTGGCCTGGAGATCTTGGATTCGTCATTCGTTGAAGCCAACAGATGGTATACTGCCTGCCAACCTTGAGCTTGTCAGCCCCTGCAGCTGCGTGAGTTGGGAAAAGCCTCCAGCTTGATGTTTGATCCAAGAACTTGGGACCTGCCAGCTTCTGTAAGTGTGTGAGTCATTTTCCTAAGATAAATTTTTCTCTTTCTGTATATATATATGCTTTACTGGTTTTGTTTCTCTAGAGAACCCAGCTTAATACAGAAATCATCTCCAAACATCCAGAGTGTATCATACAGTCTCTCAGCTCCTTTCCCTACAATTTCTTCCATTGTGAGATTAAGAGGCTAAGCAATAAATAATGGATTACTGACTATGGGATAACCTTGGGCTTGACCTTCTTCAGCTTCAACCTTCTGATCTGTCAAATAAACATGATATCCATGATCTTCTAAACCAGTGTGGTCCAGTAAAGTAGCCACTAGCCACATGTGGCTATTTCAAATTAAATTCAAATTAATTAAAACTAAATAAAATTAAAATTTCATTCCTCAGTTCCACTAGTGCTCAATAGTCACACGTGGCTACTAGCTACCATTTTGGACAGTACAAACGGAATGATTGAACCACGGCATGAAGTTCTAATGGGCAGTACTGTTCTAGGCTGTTGAGATGGTAGCAAATGAAGATACTTGTAAACTATTTTGCCACATAAAACAGCAAGCACAGAAAAGCTCTGAGAATAATATACTAACTTGTGCCTCAAACTCAGCGTAAAAAGCATTGTGGACCCTCATTCTTATTACAAGTGTTACTCTAGAAGTAGAGTGAAAACAACATCAAAATTCCCTTCATTTTAACCCTTCTCAGGTGCCTGAAGAATAGTCTAACTTGTCTATGTATCACCTACTATGTGTGTGGCACTGCCCTAGGCTCTGTGTCCTGTTGTGGACTCTTAAATTGCATCAAGTACCAAGCTGAGGCTCTGCTTGGAAAGCAGCCTATGAAACCTAATTGAAGGATTTAGTACCTTGGGTCCATTCCTTGCATTACAATCTCATCTTGCTTGCACTCCATCATGTCATTTGTAAACATAGCGTGGAAATACGGGATTGAAGCTGCTAAAACGATCCGGTGAGCACTGAATTTGTGGTCCCCAATCTGTGCACAAAGTAAAATACAAAGACAGACATTGAGAATTGCAAATACCAAAACCCTTCTATAGCTTATCCCTCTGGCCTCTTTAATGACACCAAAGGCGTTAGTGCAAGAGCACCAAGGTTCATTGTGGTGACTATACATTAAAAAATTATGTATTTAAAATTTTATATACTCAGGTATTGAAGAAGATGTAAATAATACATTTTGATGAGGTATTTTTACTTAAGTGGCAGTCTACATCGCAACCCTTTCCAAACTTCTCACCAGCTCAAATAGCCGATTCCTTTAACTCAGCATCCCAATATCAGTTTTATTAGAAGGTACACGGAATAGACAAAAAAACTGTCCAAGAACCCTGGAGCTCCTAACAGTACATTCTTCAAAAAGAGTAAATACCCAGTGGCAGAAAGAGGAGAAGAGATCAAACTTGAACAGGGCATTAAGGACAGAGTGGGCATCAAGGGGTTGAATGTTGAAGGGTCCATGGGTACCATGCGGGCTGTGGTTGACAGAAAAGGCCTCTGGGGAAAGAGGTGGCTGTTCTCTCCAATTTGTAGCAAACCCTCATCATCACATCTTCAGCCTGAGAAGTTCCAAAGTGTTTTTCAACTATCTGCCAAAGGCTTTTCCCTTCAATAAGCATTGCCATTTATAGCTCCAAGCTACATAAACATTTCCACTTAAGAACTTTTCCACCCTGCAGAAATAGCTAAACGATCATTATTCTCTCTTTCCTCTAGGCTCCATATTAGTAAAATGCCAGTGCATCTCACTACCTGATGTTCATTTCTTCACATCACATTTATTCAAGGATTCTAGCTCAGGTTCTGTTACCATATCCTCTTTTTCACTGAACTTCAGGTTTATTACCTCTAAACAGACCTTCAAGATCACACATACAGACATATACACTATCTCCCAAATGCCAAGAGATCCTTACCAGAGTCTTTTAGTTCCTCACATAATCTAAGTGTTGCTCTACTACAGATGTTGGGGACATTAAATGACTGTGTGCTTTGGGCATTTTCCATAATGTAAAAAAAAGAAAAAATCTTAGAAATAACTTACACATTTCTAAACATTGTTTTAATAAGGCTTATGATGAAAACCAGCAGTCTCTGGTTCCCAATTATAATCCCTGATCCTGCTGTGAGGAACAACTTCTTTCAACTCTTAGGCATTTCCTTTAGTATTTATCTTCACATTTCTAAATAATATGTCCATATGTTATTTCTTAAGCTTCGCTACCTGTGACAACCAGCCTCTAAGATAACCCCCAACGATCTCTACCTCCTAGTATTTACACGTTTGCATAGTCCTCTCAAGAAGCCCTGGTGTCACACTGGTTAAAGCGCTCAGTTGCGAACTGAAAGGTTGCTGGTTTGGACCTACCAGCTGCTCCGACAAGACAAAGATGTGACAGTCTGCTTCCGTAAAGATTTACAGCCTTAGAAACCCTGTGGGCAGTTTTATTCTCTCATATACGGTTGCTATAAGTCAGAATCAACTCCATTGCAACAGGTACAGTCCCTTCCCACAATATATCAAGGCTGGTCTGTTGACCAACAGAATACAGCAGAAGTGATGGTATGTCATGTCCAAGGATAGGTCAAGAAAGGTACCACAAATTACTCTTATTCGCTCTCCTGGATCACTTGCTCTGGGGGGAAGGCAGACATCATATCCTAAGGAGAGGTCTATATGACCCAAAACTGAAGCCTCCTCCTACAGCTACCTAATTAAGCCTGGAAGCAGATCCTTCAGCCCTCATCAAGCTTTCAAATGACAGCAGTCCAGACAGACATCTGGACTGGAACTTTATGAGGGACCTGAGTCAGAACTACTCCACTAAGCTCCTTCCGAATCCCTGATCCACAGAAACTGTGAGATAATAAATAAATGTTGTTTTAAGCAACATCAGATGACTGGAAGGAACTCTAGTGACAAGCATCTGGCTGATAACCAAAAGGGCAGCAGTCTGAACCCACTAACCACTCTGCAGGAGAAAGATGAGGCAGTTTGCTTTTGTGAAGATTTATAGCCTTGGAAACCCTATGGGGCAGTTCTACACTGTCCTACAGGGTAACTATGAATTGGAATCAACTCAATGGCAGTGTTTTCTGTTTGTTTTTTTCTTTTTTCAAATGATAAATGGAAAAAATACTGAAGTTGTCAAGGACTTCATTTTACTTGGGAATATCCACAATTAATGCCCATAGAAGCAGCAGTCAAGAAATCAAATGACAGATTGCATTGGGCAAATCTGCTGCAAAAGACCTCTTTAACACTTTTTAGTGTTAAAGATCTAATATACAGCCACAGAAGTCAAAACAGCCTGGTATTGGTACAACAACAGACACACAGACCAGTGAAATAGAATTGAGAACTCAGAAATAAATCCATTGACGATCTCTAAAATTATTATTTCAGTTATGGGAAAGTCTTTTCATACCATTTCTATGATCATTTCCTCCCCTCTACTCTCTCTTTCCCTGAATTTCTATTAGCCACGTATTAGACTTCCTGGGATGACCTTCTAGTTTTTTTCTATCTATTCTCCACTATTTTCCAGCTCTTTTTCTCTATCTTCTAGGAAACTTCTTAATTTTATCTTACATTCTGGCTTGTAGTTTTTTACACTGGTTATCATATTTTTAATTTCTAAGAGGTCTTTCTTGTTTTCTGAAGGTCCCTTTTTAAGAGAACCTTGCTCATCTTTCATGAATGTAGTGTTTTCTCTAATTTCTCTCAACATATTACATAGTTAAGCTGCCTTTAATTCTTTGGCATCACTTGGCTATCTGTTCATACCCCAGAGTGAGGTACTTCAAAAGCTGTTTGAAAGCTGTGGGGGGGGAGGGGGGTTAGGTTTGTCAACTTGTGGACTTCATGGTTAGTGTGACCAGGCAAGGATCTGCCATTGTATTGAAGACCCCTAAAAGTAGGAGCTCTGGTGACGTAGTGTGTAAGGCACTTGACCGCTAACCAGAAGACTGGTGGTTCAAACCCACCAGCCACTCCTCGGAAGGAAGATGAGGCAATCTACTTCCGTTGTGATATTGCCTCAGAAATCCAAGGAGGGGTCGCTATGAGTTGGGTCCAACTCGATGGCAAATAACAACAACAAAAACAAAAGTAGTCGGTATCTTTAGGACTTTTTCTCTGGAGCTAATTCTATTAGAGAAGGATCTTCCAATTTCTTACATGGCAGTGACTGGCTGAAGATGTTCTGGAAACTGAGTGAAGGAGGGGGATGGTCCTACAATTCATTATTTAGACTTTCCCTTAAAATCTTACGGAGTTTTACTCCACAGTCTGTCCCTTCCTCTATAGTTGGTGTGCCTGAATTTGGAGCCTCTGGATATCTAAGACTAAAACTCTTGCCTCCTGAGAGAATCAGGGGTAGTGGTGGTGGCTAGGTATCTAATTACTTTTCACACAGATTTTCAACTAATCTTCCTGTTTCCAGTATTTGGGGTCTCTAATTCTGGAGCTATTCCAATGCTCTGCAATAAAAATCCTCTTTCTTAGTTTCTCCCACTTGCAGCCACTTAGCTTTCAGTTCTACTAAGTCCATCACACATACTTTCTGGCTTCAATATTCCCTTGTTCTCTCATTTGCTGTTAGCTCTAACCCCTTTTATTATCATATTAATAGGGTTATAAGATGGGAATGGAGGTTAAATTGTGTGTTCAATTTGCCATTTAACTACTATGTACTTATTTTTCAACTAGAAACTAAACACAAGACAAAGGAGTAAGCTCTATTTTCATTACTGGATGACCTGATTTCCCAAAAAAGCTCAGCTAAAGAGAAGAAAGGCTTACCTTGGGATAAGCTAGCCAGATTACATCTAAATTCTGTGCCAGTTAAGGGTAACAACAAGGTTGACTTTGTCTGAAAAAGAGAAACCAAAATTGGGAAGGGTCTGAGCTACAAGTTACAAGAAATGGGTGTAGGATAGTTAGCTTAGGAAGAGAATTTAGAGGGATATGATAATCGTCCTCATATCCTAGAAAGGCTATGGCATGGATGAGGGTAGAACTAGAATTTACAGGGAAAGAGATTTCAGTTTATCAGAAAGAATGAGAGCCTGTCACCTAAGAATGTTAAGAGAGGTCTTAGACTGGTTCTAGAGCTATTAAGTGACTACTTAAGGGATGTTCCACTTCTATAATCCTGTGATGCTATACTTTTGCAAAGTTTTTTAAAATCCAAATACTCTTATTTGTAATCTGTTTAAAAATGTCACTTTTTAAAAAATGAGCTGATTATTTGTTGAGCTCCTTTTATACACCATGGATTATGCTAAGCATCCATTAAGCACATTTTTTTTCTTCCCATTTTAATCTTCCCAGCAGCTTTCTACAGTAGGTAGCTACCATTAATCCCATTTTTTATATGAGAGAACCAAGCTTTAAATGTATCTTGTCCAAAGTAAACTAGCTAATATGTGAAAGAGAAGGAATTATGCTTGCATTGTTTACCAGTGGGGTTTAAGAGGGACTCAGTAAGTAATACACCTTCCTCTCAATTTGTTTTTCTCAGCCAACTGAAAAAAAACTTAATTAAAAATAAAGAATCCACGCATGCATAAAACTAAATACATGCAAAACATACACACATACAAATGAGTACAAAACGGGAAATCTGAATAAGATTGGTGGGTTACATCAACATCAATATCCTGACTGAGATACTGTACTATATATAGTTTTACAAACTGGATTCTCTGGCTGGCATATACGGTTAAATGCTCAATTATAAGCTAAAAGGCTGATGGTTCAAACCCACCCAGAGGCTCCTCAGGAGACAGGCCTGGTGATCTGCTTTAAAAAGGTCAGTCTTGAAAACTATGGAGCAGCTCTACTCAGCACACAATGGGTCACTATGAGTCAGAATCGAATAGATGACAACTAACAACAGTAACCACTGGGGAAAACTGAGGAAAGGGTATACAGGGATCACTCTATTATTTCTTACAGTTGCATGTGAATCT